CATACCACATCCTGCCAAATACTGCTCTCTGTCTAATACCCCTTCTGCCTCATCCTGTTCCCGGCCTGCCACATACCGCTCTCTGCCAAATACTACTCACTGCCTCATACCGCTCCCTGCTGAATACTCCTCCCTGACTCTTACTGCTCCCTGCCAGCCTCATACCGCTCCCTGCTTGCCTCATAAAACTCCCTGCCAAATACTGCTCCCTACCTCATGCCCCTTTTTGCCTCCCCCTTTCCCTGCCTGCCTCATACAACTCCCTGCCGAATATCTCTCCATTCCTCATACCTCTGCCTCACATATTGATACCTGCCTCACACCGCAGCCTGCCAAATACTTCTCCCTGCCTCATACCAGTCCCTACCAAATACTACACCGTGCCTCATATTGCTATCTGCCTCACACTGCTCCCTGCCGCATACATCTCTCTGCTTGCTTCATACCATTCCGTGCCACATTTAGCTCACTGCCACCGACCGCTCCCTGCCTCATATTGCACCCTTCCAGCCTCATACCGCCCACTGCCAAATACTGCATCCTGCCTCATACCACTCCCTGCCAAATACTGCATCCTGCCTCGTACTGCTCCCTGCCAGCATCATACCGCTCCCTGCCATATACTTCTACCAGCCTCAGAGGCCTCTCTGCCTCACACAAATCCCTGCACGTCTCATACAGCTCACTGCCAATAATGCTACCTGCCCCATATGCCTTTTTACCTCATACTTCTCCCTGCCTGGCTCATATTGTACCCTGGCAAATACTGCGTCCTGCCTGCCTCAGTCCGCTCCCTGCCAAATTGTGCTTCCGGCCTCTTACACCTCTTTGCTTCATTCTGCTACAAGCCTCCTAGCTCTTCCTGCCTGCCTCACACCGGCCCATGCCTCATACTGATCCCTGACAAATATTGCTCTCTGCCTCATACCACCCCCTGCCAGCCTTATACCGCTCCCTGCCTCAGAACACTTTCTGCCTCATACCGCTCCCTGCCTGACTCAAATGGCTCCCTGCCAAATACTGTTCCCTGTCTCATACCCCTTCTGCCTCATCCCGTTCCCTGCCTGCCTCATACCGGTCACTACCATATACTACTACCAGCCTCATAGGACTCCCTGCCTCATACAGATGGTTGCCCCATGCCGATCCCTGCCTCATACCACTCGTTGCTTGCCTCATACCACTTCATGCCAAATACTGCTCCCTGTCTCATCCCCCTTTTTGCCTCATCCTGTTCTCTGCCTGCCTCATACCGCTCCCTGCCAAATTCAATTCCCACCCCAATTCAAGGGCGAACCATACGGTAAATGGAAAAGCCCTGGGGAAATTTGATGTACCCTGAAGGTGGCAATGCAGATTGATAGAGTGGTCAAGAAGGCATACGGCATGCTTTCATTCATCGGACGGGGCAGTGAGTACAAGAGTTCGCAGGTCCTGTTACAGCTGTATAGGACTTTGGAATACTGCGTACAGTTCTGGTTGCCACATTACCAAAAGGATGTGGATGCTTTGGAGAGGGTGCAGAAGAGGTTCACCAGGATGTTGCCTGGTATGGAGGGCGCTAGCTATGAAGAGAGGTTGAGTAGATTAGGATTATTTATATTAGAAAGACGAAGGTTGAGGGCAGACCTGATTGAGGTCTACAAAATCATGAGAGGTATAGACAAGGTGGATAGCAAGAAGCTTGTTCCCAGCGTGGGGGACTCAATTACTAGGGGTCACGATTTCAAGGTGAGAGAGGAAAAGTTTAAGGGAGATATGTGTGGAAAGTTCTTTACGCAGAGGGTGGCGGGTGCCTGGAATGCGATGCCAGCGGAGGTGGTAGAGGCGGGCACGATAGCGTCATTTAAGATGTATCTAGACAGATACGTGAATGGGCAGGGAACAGAGGGATACAGATCCTTGGAAAATAGGCGACAGGTTTAGATAGAGGATCTGGATTGGCGCAGGCTTGGAGGGCTGAAGGTCCTGTTCCTGTGCTGTAATTTTCTTTGTTCCTCACGCGCCTTTCAGCCTCATACTGCTCACCGCCTGCCTCAAACCGCTCCCTGCCTGCCTCATACAGCTCCCTGCCTCATACTGCTCCCTCCAGCATACTGCTCTGTGGCTCATGCGCTCCGTGCCTCATACTGCTCCCGGCCTCACACTGCTCTCTGCCACATACTTCTCTCTGCCTGCTTCATACCAGTCCCCACCACATTTAGTTTCCTGCCACCTACCGCTCCCTGCCTCATACTGATCCCTTGAAGCCTCATCCCGCCCACTGCCAAATATTGCACCCTGCCTCATACTGCTCCCTGCCAAATACTGCATCCTGCCTCATACCGCTCCCTGCCAGCATCATACCGCTCCCTGCCATATACTGCTACCAGCCTCTTGGGCCTCTCTGCCTCATACAGCTCCCTGCCACAGACAGCTCCCTGCTTGCCTTATAACGTTTCCTGCCAAATACTGCACCCTGTCTGATACCCCTTTTTGCATCATTCAGTTCTTTGCCTGCCTCATACAGCTCCCTGCTTCATACCGCTCGCTGCTTCACTCATTCTCCTTTCTGCCAAATAATGTCCCCTATCTGCCTCATCTGGTTCTGTGCCTGCCTCATACCACTCTCTGTCAAATACTTCTCCCTGCCTCATACCCCTGCCTGCCTCATACAG